AATTTGCAGGCAACATTAAACTATCTATAAGTTATTATGATGTACACACTATTATTATCCCAAATTATAAACCAATATTCTGCTCATCCACATTTCAGCATTAATTTCTGAAGCAGGGAAAATCTTAGATATTCAAATTTAGATGTATGAGTAAAATGCAATACAAGTAGACAATAAATCGAAAGCAATTGCTGACAGCATCAATTCAACACACCAGAAATTCGCCAGCATGCATTCACCAAATCGGAACGCGTTGCCCACGATCAAAGCGCCTGGCATCAAATCAGCCCACGATCAAACCGCCCGGATTCAAACCAGCCCACGATCAAACCGCATGGCATCATATCAGCTCAAGATCAAACAGCCTTGCCTCGTATCAGCCCAAGATCAAATGCCCCAGGATCGAACAGGACAGCAAGAACAGTTGCGGCGCAACAAAGAGCTGGACACTATGAATGATGGATGTGTACCTGTACCTAAAATTTATTTCGTTCAAATGATAAAAAACAAGTATCGTGTCTGGAGTGTGTCTGGAAACACACACTGTATCAAGCTAAGTAATCTCAACATGTTTTGAGCTGCTAGGAACGAATTTTGATTCAAGAATATTAACGGGACAAGAGTGAATTGAAGATGCCACATTCGGGGAGAGGTTCGTATAACAACATTGTAGTGATGAGGAGAGATTGGCTGGAGACGTTACGATGATGGAAGAGCTGTTGTAGACCTGCTGCTGCTGCAGAGCGCTGCTTGACACACTGATGGGCAGCGCCGTACCACGAGTAAGATCACCGGGAGCACAGGGAGCTTCGGAGATCACAGAACCGACCATGGACTGGGGCGAGGGATCGGGCTGCGGAAAATTATGAGCTTATTAGCATTTCCCAGGCAGTATGGTGGCTGAATTCAGGCTATATAAATAAATAAGCAGCTCGTATATTCATGCTAGGTCATCACCTAACTTGAGATAAACAACACAACCGTGTTAGTAAAATACTTAATAATAAATGATGCTACTTGAAGTCTTAATGAACATCAGCACCTAACAATGGTCAGGTGCTACGATGTATCATTTCATGACATGCAAAACTGAGCTGAACTACAAGTTATAAGGAAACAGATAGATCTTCCTTTCACCAATCACGTGACTTAAGGAGCCGTCATCCCTAAACCAGTTTTTCAGCTAAAATTACGTAACCAAATCAACAACGGCTAAATTGTTGTTATAGAAAGTTGAAGATTAGTATCCTTTTGTTTTGAAAAGTACCGTGACCAGGCTTATGTTTCTGCCTAATTACAAGCGTTTTCTTATACAAATACACATTTCTATCCTAGATCATAAACAAAAGCTAACGATCTCTGGACGACATGATTGCGCAATTCATTTGTGATGCTGTGGTGCCACTCCTTGATGCCCTCTGAGAGACGCACTGTCACTACCAAGCAACCAGGCACCTGCCTTAGGATGGTTGGGTAAATTCAATCAAGACTCAGCAATATTTGGAGTTATTGCGCCATGCAACCCCTAATTAAACCTGTAACTTTTGTGCTACTATGCTACCAGGCACCTGCCTAGGATGGTTGGGTAAAATGAACTAAGACTCTGCATTACTTGGAGCTATTATGCCATGCAACCACTAATTAAACCAGAACAATGGGCCTGTATGAGGCTACCTCAGTAGGTTTATTTGGTTTGAGGAGGGTTATAATTTTGCCAGTTTTCCAGATTGATGGTATAATGCAGCGGGCGTATGAAAAGTTTGCCATGTTTGTTAGCGTGGTGATGCCATGTCGGCCTAGGTACTTGAGATGAAAATTAGAGATGTTGTCTGGCCCTATGGCAGATGAGTTTTTGAGCTGTTATATGACGCGTGTGGTATCACATGTTGTGGCAAGGACTAAGTGTTTCAAGTGGAAATTTGTGCTTGCGTCTGTGGATTTGTCTGTCTGGTCTGTGCTTGGGCAGATGACTGATGCTTGCATAGTGGTTTATTAATATATTGGACTGTTGTTGGTGTGAAGGGATGTAGTCCGAGGTGGTAATTTATGAGTGGGATGGGGTGAGGCCACTGTTGGAGTTGGTGAGACTGCAGGTTGTTCTATATAGTTTTGATGAGTATAGGCCTAAGTACACATGTCAGCTTAAGTACACGTAGCATATAAAGTACACATAGCATCCAAAGTACACGTAGCATCCAAAGTACATGTAGCATCTAAAGTACACGTAGCATTTAAAGTACACATAGCATTTAAAGTACACATAAAAGCGCAAGTGCACGTAGCGGCCAATTTCTTTTCAGTGATTGGTGGGTTTAACTTGAAAAGCCGTCAGTGATTGGCTGACAGAGTTAGGAGCTCGTAAAGTTTTTGATAATACGAACCCTGTTTACCTTCACACGCCGGCCTCACATCCTGCTCCTGGACGGACGACGACGGCCGTCTTCTCTCCTCTCCCGCGAGCCGCTCCTCGAACGGTCCCTGTCATTATTACCATCACGGTCTCTTGCTTCGTCTCTTCTGTCGCCGCTCCTCGAACGGTTCCTGTCATTATTGCCATCACGGTCTCTTGCTTCGTCTCTTCTGTCGCCGCGACTTCGGTCCTTCCGACCGTCCCGGTCTCTGTCAACGTTGCTGTCTCCTTGCCGGTGTGCCCTGCTCATGAAATCCCTTTATGGCCTCAACTAAACTTGGGTAATTTAGTGGGTCTCAATAAAAAAGTATTATTAATTACATGGTGTTTTACAAATCTGGATCATACAATTTTCATTTCATCGGGAAACATTTTCTTGATATAACTTTACCATTCTGGATTATATTATGAATGAGTTTTTGATCAACAATTGTCTTTCATGATGAAGAGAATAAATGCGCGACATAAGGCCGCCTCACGGAGGGAGCACTGGCAGGTTTTCAGACAATGTGCACTTCTGTGCATATTTTCTCTTATTTCTGAACGTATTAATTTGTTAAAATAACACTTATTGAAGAATTTGTTGCACCTTTCTGTGGGGTAGTGGCCGTTGTCTCGCCTGTTCTGTTGCTGCACTGCGCTTGACTTCATCGCCTGCAACAAACAATTTTTTATGTGGATAACATAATCTGGAGACACTTGTCCAAACATAACATGTTATCTGGTGAACATAACCCATGAACAAGAATGTCAAACAAGAATATTTAATATGGACAACATAATCTGGAGACACTTGTACAAACCTGACATGTTATCTGGTAAACATAACCGGTGAACATAAGTGTGGAACAAGAATATTTAATTTGAAGTGGTAATTGTGTACCCATCACATGGACACATACAGGGGACAAGAATGGCTCTGGAATAAGATATTTTGCATTTCTATGAAGTCAGAAACTAAAATGACCGATGTATGTAGCCAAAATAAATATATTGATAAATCTGCTGCTTCTGATATCTGTGTGGGCACCAGGTCTTATTACCTGATCATGACGGTCTGCCAATTCCCGTTTTACTTGCTCCAATTGTAACTGCTGCAGCTCCTGTTGTTGAAGCTCTTGTTTTAGCAGCCTAATCTGTTGTTGTTGCTGCAGCTCCAGTTGTTGTTGTTGTAACCGAAGCAGCTCCCAATCTCGTTTCCACTCCTGTTGTATCTGTTCAATCTCATGCTGCTCCAGCTCTTGTTTTTGCTGCTTTATCCGTTGTTGTTGACGCAACTCCAGTTGTTTTTGTTGTAACTGATGCAGCTCCCAATCTAGTTTCCACTCCTGTTGTAACTGTTCAATCTGATGCTGCTCTAGCTCTTGTTCTAGCTGCTCAATCTGTTGTTGTTGCTGCAGCTCCAGTCGTTGTTGTTGTAACTGCTGCAGCTCCCAATGTTGTTTCAGCTGTTGTTCTAGCTGCTTAATCTGTTGTTGCTGCATCTGTTGTTTCAACTGCTGCAGCTTTTGTTGTTGCAGCTGCTGTATTAGTTGTTGTTGCTGTTGTGTCTGTTGTTGTATCTGATGCAGCTGTTGTTGTTGCTGCTGCTGCTGTTGTATTATCTGCTGCAGCTGTTGCTTTATCTGCTGCAGCTGTTGTGGTATTATCTGCTGCCGCTGCGGCATCTGATTCAAATAATCTGCTGAGATGAAGAGCATTTACTATTCACTCACTATTGGGCAATTTTTAAAACAAAGGACTTATTTCTTATATATATATATATATATATATTGCTATACATTGGTAATTCCGCGACAGTGATTAGTCGACGTTTTTCAATTAGTTATTCAATGTAATAGAACCTTTCCTGGCTGGACCTAACCTTAGTAAAATTGTAAAAAAGTTTCTAAAGAAACATTTTTTACACTTCTTACCCTAATTCTAACCCTAACTTAACGAGATTTTTGTTAATTAGCATGTCGCATAATGGCGTTCATCTTTTTTTGTGTCGCACTATTAGCAAAAATTAATCATATCTAGATTCCGGGACATTGGTACATACCGAGACAGTAATTGCGCGACATTTTGTCGCACAATATGCCAAAAATGTCGCGCTATTCGAAAACTCTTAACAAACGTGTCGCACAATAACCCAAATTATACAAATATATATATTTATCACTATATATGTTCATAACAACACAGCCAAAACAGAAGTATATTGAGACAAAATAGAACAGTTGAATAGCAATGCAGTTGAGGTAGCACTGGACTTACACATTATGGAGCCAAGCCAGGCAAGTAACAGCTTCTCTGCAGGATCAAATGGAGCTTTTGTAAAAATTTTGGTCCTCTCACAAGACTAAACTAACATTTCTAATTATGAGTCTGAAGAGAGAAGAGCACAAGTGAGTAAATGTCCTATGAATAAATTATTTAAATAACATGGATACCAGCATCATTAATAGATATTCAATATACAAGGGGCATCCAGAAAGTAGTACCTGTTTGGGAATTGAAAAAAGGAAGTAAATATTAACAAATGTAAACATATAATAACATTTCAAAAACGTCAGTGCTTCATCCATACGCTTGGTTTTGTGTTCATCAGGAAGCATGTGAGGGACCCACCTCGCACAAATTTTTGAATAATGCAGATGGTCTTTCACAATTTCATGAATAATTGTTCGAGAAACTCGGGGAAATGTTCAACAATTTCCTCAACCATAACTTGCCAATCATTCCTAACGACTTTAATGATTGAGTTCACCAGTTCGTCTGTAATGACTGAAGGCCATCCTAAACACTCATCATCATGGGTATTCTCCCTCCCCAAGTTGAAGTTTCAACACCAGTGGCAAACAGACAATTCATACATAACATTGTCTCCATACACCTTCTTTAATTGACTATGAATGTCACAAGCGCCAACATTTCATGCATTGAGAAATTTAATAACAACCCTAACCTAACAACTGGCTGAGTTCTCTATTTTCTTAAACATGATTACACACTCATAGCAATAACACACTCAGTGCTAGCAACACAAAACGTTACACAGAGGCAGCATACACTTAACTGAAAGTGTCCAAACTGCACATGTGGCTATTTGTTTTGCTAGTGCTCCATACAACGCAAATGGGTACTACTTTCCGGATGCTTCTCATAATTTTGAAGTAAATCAGGAAATTAAAATGAACTGGTTTCTAGAAAATCTCTTGTTTGCTAGTGGCCACTATTTGTGGATTCTAGAATATTTAACATAATTTGCCAAAAATTATGGCCTGTGATGTTTAAAAAACTACCTGCAATTTGCAGGTAAAAATGTTTACCTATTTCACTTCTCATGAACTAGAAATGAAAAGTAAAAAATCACAAGATTTTTCAATATCAATATACTTTTGAATGATTTGATAAACCCAATCCACATTTGAACCTGAATATATAAGTTAAAAAAGCATCTTGCGTAGATTATTTCCATCTAATATCAAGTATTAGGGGAAATTGATATTAGATGGGGCAATTGAAAAGTGGCTTAAACTTGTCTTCATGAGGAGTTGTATTGAAATGTATATATTGGCTCCATTGTCATCCATGAGCCACTGACGAAGATGTAATTTAATAAATTTCGGAAATAATGTATACTCGTATCTTCATTGAAATGATCTAGAAAAGTATGATAGTCCATTAATTTATGTTGTGTATGTCTGTATATACCATCAAACAGGGTAATAAGGGACGGGCGGGTAAATCGGGACAGTCATCCCACATTTGGTAGAAATGTTGTTGAAGCTAAACTAATCAAAATATTGCAAAACTAAAAAATAGTGACAAAGTTTAACATTTTTACTATCTATGTAGCACAAGACAAGTTAAGAAATCATGCATTCACTACCTCTAGAAAATCCCTGACAAAAAGTGTGAAAGGTGAAATTTTACAAACGTACCTCTGCTAAGGTCTGTATCAAAAATATATTTGCCACATTAAAAAATTTTACTTACATAAAAGTTGCACACGGGTGTTGGCTTAAAAACGTGATTGATGGAATTTGCATGTCTCATTAAAAAAATAACTGGTAGCCATTTCCGCACGATGGGGTAATAAAGGACACCCCCCAGGGTAATAAGGGACACCCCTAAAAACGAATTTACAGTAGAACCTCAGCTAGCAAAGGCTCCAGTTAACCAAAAAAATCAATTAACAACAAAAACTTTTGATTACATTTACCTCTCTCAGCAAAAAAATTCATTTACTGAAAAATTAATGCAGCATCGGTCATCACAAAATTGTGCATAGAATGGCATAGATTGAATTGTGTACCAGACAACATAGAATGAAAAGTAATTAACCTAAACTAGGATTTATTTCTCCAAAAAATATTATGGTTGTCACTGAAATATTCCTTTCCATTTCAGGTATGTTTTTACGATCTTTTTTGTTATAGTGAATTCACTTGACCCAATTAAGGGGATCAACCTGGCTAAAATCAATCAATTTTGGCTTTTCCGGTTTTTCTACTCATCTTAAAGCTGGAATTCTGCTCTTTCAAATGGTACCACTGCCATCTCTCTACGTGAATATTTACGTTCATGACGGCTCTTTAAACGGAGGCGGGTGGGAGAGTTCTTTAAGAAATTAGATACAAAGTAAATAAATGCTGAAATCTTTGAATATAGTTTCTACCTGAGTTGTGCTGCAGTTACTTGCTTATGACTACATAAATAGCAGTATCTGGCAACTGGCTTCAGTCACCCTCCTAACTTCGTACGGAGAGGTGCGCTACAAGTTGCTGCTGGCTTCCTTGAGTGGACTAAGCTTCAGAAGCCAGCAGTTCGGAAGCCTTGCTACATTGAGTGCCTATTTTGAGGCGCGCGGGACTTTGTCGCGCTCTCCTCAACATTCACACTTATTGTCACGGAAAACCTATCTCCTCCTAGAGTTTTCAAGCTACAGCAATGAGACATATACCGTTCGATTTGTTAAGACCAGGCCTATCGACTCCATCATTCCTTTTTTTGAATTTCGGTCTGGTTCGTTTTTTATATGGGGAAGAAGGGGGCGGGGAGGGGGTGAAAAATGTAAAAATGTGTAAAAATGGGAAAAAACGTCATAAAAAAAAAACTAGGTGGAAATGAAAAAAAGGAATGATAGAGTCGATAGATATGGTCTTTACAAATCGAATGATACGTGTCTCGATGTTGTAGGATGATATTTGTGGGAGGAGATAGATTTTCTGAAGTACTTTGAAGTACCCCTTTTTAGCCGTTTTCTATGAATTTCACGTTTTCTATCAATTTTTTCGAAAAATTCATAGGAGCAAAATGTTTTTATTTTCACATTTTACTTATGTATGTGAAGTTTCATGACAATCGGATAATAACTGTAGAAGTTTTCAAAATGCCAGGTCGATCCCCTTAAAATGGTGTAAAATTACAAGCCATCCTGTAAGCTCAAAGATACAGAAGAAATGCGTCATGGCTTCCTATATGAAGCTTGCAGTGGACAAGGTCGTAGTAAATGCATAATGGCATGTCCATGGATACAGTAATATGACATCAATAATACAATAATGTATGGATATGGTAATATCATATCAATAATGGAAAAACAAGTAAAAAACACAGAAAATTTTTATTTATTCTGCATCTACAAACGAAAAGGACTTCACAGTACTGTTAGTAATAGATGAGTACCCTTTGCAGGCTTTAAACGTTTTAAAATTGAGTTTCATTTCAAGTGTCCCAGATTACCCTGTTCCCAGGGGTAATTAAAAATGTAAAAACAACCTGATTTCTGGAATCTGGTAAGTACCGTAGCTGGTTTAACTAATGCTCCTATTACAACGGATATAATAAGAATATTCCTCCAACTGGTGTATGGGTATCCATGAGAAAATTCAGTTGATTAGGAAAAACATCTGGCCCTACCAAATTGCAAAAAAATTGGTAGAGATACAATTACTCCTAAGAACAGTTAGCAAATCATATTCCAAATATTTAGCTTTCTATATTGTGCGAGAGAGGTTTATGGTCCTAGAATGTTTAGTCTGGAGACTACAGAGCTTAAAGCATCCAGAAAAAGTGCAAATTCAAGTCAAAATTTGATTGCTAGTTGGCAAAGCTTCTTGATGGCCAGGAGTCGGTTGAGAGACTTAAGGCTCTCGTTAAAAAGACTGGCTCTACACCAATCACTCCTAAATGTCAAATACAGTGGGGGGAAATAAATATTCGTACACTTGAAAAATCGTATTTTAATGTATGTAAGTACGCAAACTTAGCAGGAAAAGTGATTTAAATTATGTATAGAGACGCATAGTATTCAAAAATACTATCAAAAGAAATTAAATCTCAATGCAACAAAAAACAATGCAACATGTTCACTTTTCGGGATCCTGTTAAGTTTGTGTACATACATACATTAAAATACGATTTTTCAAGTGTACGAATATTTATTTCCCCCCACTGTAAATGCATTCACAAGAACTAGCTCTCTAGATTTATTGACATTTGGAGGATGTATAAAACTGTTTATTCAACACACAAGTCATGAATACAGGGGTTGCAGGAGGTCAAGTTATCCAAGGGGTGACAAAGCATGGTTTAAGCAAGAAAAATGACAATTATAGTAATAAAGGGCAAGACTAACATGAACAGGTAATAAGCATCAAGCATTAATTTATATACTGGCATGAATTTAGAGAAAAATTTTCAAAATTTTGGGAAAAAATAACAATGGTAACACAGGTAATGAAATGAAATGGACTATACTAACATAATGGAGCACAGGGATGGGATTAGCTAGCAGAGGTGAAGTTGAGTCTGGCAAATGATAATTTCGGTATCGCACGTGGGAGCTGTTCACGTGGTTAGTACATGCAAGGTAGCTGAGTTTGACTGGGTAGTTATGGTTCATTTATTCGAATATTGCGCTGCCGGTGATGCTGGTAACCAATGTAGTTTTCTGCACCCAATTGTAGAGAAAACTACATTGGTTTTCTGCACAATTGTGTGGTTTAGCACTTCGTAATAAATTGCACTGTCATCAAACTTGTATTGCCTGCGAATAATTTACCTGTGCGGCCCGTTCAGATATGCAGCTCTGACCAGTCAAAACTACTGACCGCCGCTCCAGCGATTCAACCCTCGGCCTAAGGCCCTTGCTATAAAGCGTCATCAGGGCTAGTCGTATCCTGGTTGCCAGAATTGCCGTCAGTAGTCACAGGGATTTTTGGCGTTTTTGGCGCAAGAAACACGTTTTTTCACGTTTCTCCCACGTTTTTGGCGCAAGAAACAACAACAACAACAACAACAAGTTGAGTCTGGCAATATTGTAATTCAAGCAGGCTTAGTCAAATCAGTGTGCCATGCAAAAACCAATGAAATTCCAT